CCCACAACCCCACCAGAACCCCATCAGAAGCTCAAAAAATGTAAGGATTCGAAAGGCTTACTTTTTTTAACAATTGTAAAAATTACATAGGAATATTTTTCCTCCCTGGCAGGGGGAACAGCTCTTCCTGACAGGGAACCCTGGCCCTAAAGGCTCTTCACTAGCACCACCACTGGGCAGTGGTAGCGATGATATCTACAATAATAATATGAAAATATGTTTACCTAATTTGGAATGTTTAATGTCCAACCCACTCTCCTGACCTGCTTCTGTCCGAGGGCTTAAGACAAAAGATCCTAGTTTCTAGAGAACAAAAACACATCTTATTAAAACATGTAGAAGGATTCAATAATCAATGATCAAATCATTTACACGTCAGTGTTAATCAATGAGCTAATCGAATAATATGTATATCTTTGACAGTTAATCAACTTGTTGAATCACACCACACCTTCCATACCAGAAATAAAAATCAGCTTCGTATTAATTTAAGAACTCAAATACGTCAACAATGTATAACATACCAAGGTGTAAAAATATGGAATAACCTCTCTCAGCTATTAAAACCTCAAAATCACATTTTCAAAAGACAGCCTAATAATGAACTAAATAATAAATTTGTAGTAATCTACACTTACTTTGTTATTCATATATGATTTAATTATTCATGAATGTAGCAAAAAATTTGCATGAGTATTAATATAGAACACAGTATACTGTACCTCACTAGATCCTTTTTGGGCGAGTTCTTCAGTTGATGATGCAACTCTTTGTGCTGGTGACATAGGGGGTGACATACTACTGTGAGGTGGGGAATTTACTCCAGTTATTCCTTGCTCATCATCTTCCAGCTAAATATATCAACCGCAAATAGATAATTAAACACGATATTATTGAGTTCATCCGCAGCATCAAATTGAACGTGGTATACCTATGATTTGCCAAAATATGAGTATGTGATATCAGCATGCCCATATAAGGATCTGATATGACAACATCATGGCCATATATGGGCAGCCCACATAAACTTGTCACATAAAACTTGATAGATGTTGATGGAGCCTTAAAGCAGCATGTACAGAATCCGATTTTTTGCCTGTCTCAACAGACAATGTCTAATCAAACAATTTTGAAAAAATTATTTAGATTTGTATGTGGGTCAAGTAATGTCAATACCAAACTTAATCATTGTCTATGTAGTCATTCCATTCAAAAGACAAACATACATATCTTAAAGATGCCGCACATAAACCAAGTCTTTATACACAGTACTTGCTTCAGACACACCTGATGAAACAAATTATGTCTTTCTGATGTGTGTTAAAAGTTGGACAATGTTGTACTTCATCAGATAAAGTCTAATCATCGTCTCATTAAGCTGGGCACTCACTGCTTTTTACAACACCGTTTACTGATTGTCGATGGCAGCCTAAATGGATCGTCATTAACACTCTGCCCGCCAAACACGGTGATCTCCATGTTTGGTAGTGCAACGCTTGACCGCCAAATACAGACATCTCCATGTCTCAGGTTTTTTTACGGAATCTAATAGACGGGGTAATTACCGACATGTACTAACAATTTGAACACTATAATCAGTTTGGACTGTAAGTATTTCACTATTTGTTTGTTTACATTAGCTACTTACTTTCACAAAATTGCGATTATCTTGTAGTGCGAAATTGCATAAATCTCCAAAAGTGATTCATTTTTATTTTATTGTTACGGGTCACAAGTTGTGATTAAATTAAAGTGTTTGGTACCATTGTACAGCTAAAATGTGTGTAGTTCTTGTAGTATTCACTACATGTCAATCTGATCACATACACACTTTCAACGAGCTTCGGAAAAGTGTTAAAATTCGCTAAAAAGTTTAGCGGTGGCTGATACTACTTTTTCAAACCCCTGGTGGGCAGAGTGTTAAAAACAATCCGTTGCGCACACATTCTAGCACAGCATTCTCCATGGTATCGTGTCAGCCAACGACCATTGTGCGCAGTGTGTGCACAGCTTTACATGTATATCTACAGGATTTGACCTAAGAACTTCAGATTCAAGAATAGGCACCTTAACCACAAAACCACAGCTCCACTAATAATACACATTAAGGTACTTGCTACCTGTATTTACAGAGAGTCATTGTTCACACAAAGTTTTCTCAACATGCACCTCTACTACTGATCAAAGAGAATTTGTTGTTTTTTTTTTAAATTATTTACCTGACTCGCTCTTGAAGCTGAGGCGGGAGTGGAGGTGGCATAGCTGCTCTGAGCTGCATTTGAGATGGTGGTGCTTGGCCGTGGAGTCGTTGGGTCTTTTACAATCTCCTCGGTAACAAAAACCACGGCGCAACCAATCAATGCTTCAAAGAACTCTAAAAACGTCATCTGAATTTCAAAATTGAAACTTTATGTTATAAAAAATATTTGTTATTTGCAGAGTTGTTTTATTGATAAGTTATTGAGTATCTGTAAGGTATTTATAATAATTTTATTAAGTGTGAAATAAAGTTCAATAAATAAGAATGAAAATTAAATGTGATTTAGGGACAGATCTAGATTTTGATAACAGCAAATTCGGAGGTGGGCTACCTCAAAGTGGGAATTGCTCAAGGGAAGGGACTGCAAGGGCTGCAGGGGTGAGGCTGCAGAGGTAGTGCTGCAAATGATAGTAGGTCCTACTGCAGTTTTTTAGAAACATTTGCAATTGTTTATTGTAAGTGATATAGTGGATCATCATCACCTAAATACATTGCAAATATATAATCACAGATATTACCTCCAATTCCAGATTGTAGTCAACAGAATCATAAGCTGCTGGATCATCACAGGCTAAGATCTGGATAATCATTTGTGGTGACAATCTATCATTGATAAGCTTGTAGTCATTGAGCATGAAGAGGAACTCCCTCATTGTCAGTGATAAGTCACATGGACTTGCCTACAGAATGACAACAAGTATTAAATGAAAAAGACAAAAAGAATTGGTAAATAAAAAATCAATTGGTAGCCATATTTTATTGATATATTTTTATTAACATGCTTTACTCCAATCAATTGGGCTTCACCAGTTGCGAAATTTTGTGAATAAAAATGTATCATTACTCAAAAAAGTGACTACAATTGATGATGCCCCACCGATTGGGGTGAAACTTGTTAAAAAAGTTTATCAATAATCATACCTTTCTTGGATTGCAGATGGCATAATAGAGTTCCAACGTTCTCTCGAGGTAGCCAAGGGCATTTACAGCATAACGTGGTTCACACAAGAACCGCCCCTGTACATCACATGAATAAAGTACTATGTTCTCGGTTATCACCTTCGAGAAGCACCACGAAACAACAGTTCCTTTCCCACTAAATCAACAGGAATTAAAATAATAGGAAATAAATTTAGATCTGACTGTGGGTTACCATTAAAAAAAATCAATATACTGTAAAGATGACTTCTAAAATCAAGCATACAATATATCATACCAGCAGATCAAAAAACAAACATTAAAATACAATCTAGTATTTGAATTCTTTGTTTTTCAATTTAATTTTACTCTTAATACCTTCACGTCACTTGAGGTCACTCACCTATGCTCTTCTTCGTACATGTGGTATGACAATGTGATGACATGGTTCAGAAATTCTCTTAAAAGCAGTTTATCCAACGGTGAGTGGATATCAGTAGCAGTCTTGTCATTAGCTGTAAAAATAAGATATTCAATTACTTAGAGACTATCATCATTATCGTTACCATTAACACTGTCATTATTCATCATTAAAATTATTATCAGCACATCACCATCACCATCGCAACTCTCATCAACAACAGTATCATCATTATTAATACCATAATTATTCATCATCAAAATCATCATAACAATCATTATCAACACTTCTGTTATTACGAAACTTACAATCCCTTTTACCACAATCATCATTAGTCTCACCACATCATCATTATCCCTATCAATATCATACAATGGAGTTAACTGATTATTAACTACTGAGTATTTGATAACTCTTACCAAGAAGCCTGTCCATCTCCATAAGAGTGATTCCACTGCAATGAAATTGGCAATCCTTTAAGAACCGCCAAAACTGGAGTCGAGTCATAATGAAGGTATTGTCCGTAGCAGTGTCGTGACCCAAGCTGCTGTAATAACTATAAACTTTACGCAGGTGTGTGATATGGCGAAGGGTCACAAACATGACCTGTGGAAGAGACATTGAGCAGTATGACAAACATTTCAACCTTCAGAGATACTTAATCTTTTTTTGGATGATGCAAGTATTAGAAGAAGTAAACATTGATGTAGACGCTATAACAACCACATGTCATAGACACACTCCAATATTTCGTTCCATCATTCAAAAATTTTGGTTGTTTTTCTTTTCTAGTACTATAGTTTGACATTAGTAGGTCTATGTACTACTTACACCTATAAAAGTTATCATCCAAGACACACCCTAGTCTTCTAAAATTGTTGTGATTTGTAATTTTGTTACCATGGAATTGCCCATATATGGGCAGATCACAGGTATTGTCACTAATAAGACTTGATTATAAAAAGTACCTGCTGTAACTCTTCCTCCCTGTCACTGTCATCAAACTGGTTCAGAAGATGGTCAATGTCAAGCGTTAAACTGGGTCCTAAGGTGTTACGACTCTCAAAGCTTCTGGAGGTGCCATCCCCAATGTTTGCTGGGCCTAGCGGATCTGGTGTCCTGGTGCGTATGGTGGTGATGTCTGGTGTGTTTGTGCCATCCATTGAAAAATCTGGATACTCAACCATTCTGTCATCATGGAAGATGCCTTCAAATACTCGACCATTTTTTAAGGTGAAAACACCCTGAAGGAAAAAAAATAAAATGCAAAATGTTACATTTAATGAAGCTACTGAAGTATCCCTCAACTAGTATCTATTATGCGAGTGCACCTGAAGCTTAGTGGATGGATGGATAGATGGATATATTTATTGTAAACACCAAGGATAACCCACGAAAGTCTGAAGGCTTATTACCAGTGGGGTCCTTCTGGTGGTAATTGGGCAGTACACCGGGAGACAATCCCCTACTCTTATCAGAAAGAGTGTACTGCATTCTTTAAGATGCACATATGCCATAATGCACACAGGACCAGAGGCTTAAAAGGGAACTAGAAAGATGATTTTATTTTCTAGAAGGGATTTTTGATATGTCACGAGTAATGGAATCAAAATTAAAATCATTTTTTGGCAATTTTTTATGAAGTTAAAGGCCATTACCATTCTGCCCCTTTAGCAGCGTAACGTCAGCGCCGCTATTTTTGGTTACAGTACCTAACACTGATGTCATGCTGCTAAAGGGGTAAATTGTAGTAACTACATAAAAATATCATCTTTCTAGTTCCCTTTTAAACATCTCATCCGAAAGACAGTGCATTTATCGTAACTTGCACTTCAGCCCTCCCACTGAAACACAAGGAGAGCATCGATGGGAATTGAACTGGGGACCAAGAGATCTCCATAGTTCAGCACACACAGTGGCTACACCAGTTTAGCTGCTTTCACAGAGCTAAGCTGCTTTTAAGATGTTTGCCTTTAAAATGTGCTATTTACTGTTTCACTAATGTATTTATATTTTCTAGTATGAGATCATCTTTTAAAATTAAGTGATACTTACTCTTCCATTCTTCATGTTGTTCTCCCACTCTCCGTCATACTTAGCTCCATTGGCATAGTAGAAGTGCCCGTAACCATGCCGTTTCCCATAAACAAACTCTCCTTCATACTGGTTACGTAAGGGATACTGAGAACCAGGAAGTCGTTTCAAAAACCAGCTGTGATCACCTTTGCCATGCTACAACGAACATTGCAAAATACATTGTGAGAAATTACTATTGACAATTTAATAAAAAATAATAACCATAACAACAATAGTAACAATAACATAGATATCCACAGAACAGGAGTGGATCCAATAGGGGATGGGCACGTGCCTCGACCAATTTTGTCTTGGACCAACTCCAAAAAATTATCAATACTGTATAATACCTGTATGCCCTGGTACCACTGTCCATTATAACTCTGGTCCACATCTACCCAACGCATCAAACCTGTTCCATGTCGCTTGTTGTTCACCCATTCCCCTTCATAGACGTTGCCCGAGTGATAACGACGCACTCCGAAACCATGGCGCTTGTTGTCAACCCAGTCCCCTTCGTAGAAAGACATTCCATCTGTGTCGTAGCGTATAATTCCCTGATGTTAATAACAGAATTGAAATATATATTTGCATATTCATGGAAGTATGTGGAACAGGGGCATGGCTTTTGGGTATCTGATTCAAAGAGCAAGTGTTTGACTAGATCATCATTGTGTCTCTCCAACCAGAAGTATGAATTATATTGAAGTGTCAATCAAGCTTAACTACTGACCAATCAGAATGTTCCATTCAATAGGATGGGCCAGAAATAGGCACAGGTCCACAACAAACAAGTTTATAGTATGTTTATAATACACTTTCAGCCCATGAATTTCAAAAACTGCTTGGAAAGTCAAAACTTTGTCTGAAACAGGCTACAGCAGAAAATAAATTTCATGTACGTCGTCAAACCAAGAAAATTGGTTGTTTTTAAACAGATTTGTTTGTACAGTATTATTTTTAATGTGCAGAATCATCTTGTCTTTCTCGCCTAGCTACGCCTAGTCATTTCATAGGCTAGGTACAGTAGGGGTGACCTTAGCCAGCCAAGGCCTTAAACATAGCCAAATGAACCAATTGAAGCCACCTGGGCTGCGTAGATGGTAATGCTTATCTAAATCCATTATTTGTCTTCATTGTATAGTATTATTATCATACTTAAAATGTTATTTATTATCTAAAACAACCAAATTAAATCACAAACACGATCCCTGACTTCACTGCTGTCATGTACATGTGTACGTGTGTGGAAAATCCCAGATAGGTCGTTCTGGGCATGCGCATTGACATGCATGGGCAGTTTTGAAGCACACAGCCTGTGATAATATGATAGTAGCTTTTATGAAAGTGATATTTCCCATGCTAAAGATAACACTAAAACGAACGCTAAAACGACATTTCTTCAGCGATTTTCTAATGTAAAACATGTATTATACTACACTATTAAAATAATACAACAACCATTTTTTCACCAACAATATATTGATTTAATAGAGATTATTGACAAAATCATGATCTGTAGATGATGATGTAAAGTCGAGCGTTCGGAAAATTGTAGTTTAGGTCTAGGTATTGAAAATTGCCGAGACTGCCAATCTTGGAGAATTTAAGGTCGGCAAATTTTTGCCAACCTAATTTTTTTCATATTTCATGGGCTGCACTTCAAAGCTGCCAGTTGTTTTGTAGGCCCTCAGCAATAACATCAAAGGGGTGGAATTTAGCAGAGTAGTAAGTTATCCTTGAAGGTTTATCTGTATATAAAGATAAAAGGAAGAAAACTATTAAGCTACTTACTGCTCCTTCCCTTTTGCCATGGACCCAGTTGCCAGTGTAAGAGGATGGTGACGATATGCTTCGGAAGGTACCATGTCCGTGCCGTTTGCCATTCAGGACATCTCCTTCATAGCTACTTCCATCTGGCCATGTGTACATTCCCTTCCCAGTGACAGAGTTCTCATGGAAGTCGCCCTAGAAGAAGAAAACCAGCATAAAATTATTTTATGCATTATTCCAGCTTGTGAATGAACAAATGAAACAATTTTTCATAATATCTGTATGTGATAGACTGAATTAGTCACCAAAGATGACGTCATCACAATATCTGCAAGTGGGTATAAAAGTCTACAAAAGCCAAAAGAGCGACTCCAATGCATTGAGCGGAGTCAACTTTGTGGTATACTGTATATTAAATCGTCTAAAATGTAATGAAGCTAGCAAAGAAGATACATTTTATATATACATTTTTAATGATTCATAGATTCATGAGACTAAGGTTGATTTAATTTACATTTTCATTCAGACTAAAAATAATACAAAGAGTTTTGAGAGGCCTTCTAGGGGGCCTAGGCCAATTGCTCGCGGGACTTTCCACATCCAGCACCGACTAAGGAGATCGCTGTTAATTTAGAGGTACACATTCAGCTTAAATACTGCCACCAAGTCACTCTGTTGCAATTTCACTATGAAATATTTAAACTATTGGACAAACTTAAATTGCTAAATTGTGGGATAAGACATTTCTTGTGACTACGATGGCTGGTGAAACAGAAGAATGTTGTTTGTATGACTCCCTAGTCTAGGACTAGGCCCGTGTTCATGCGACGAGGCTATGCAAACATGTTTTCTATCTTTTCGATAATTTATTTTACGATAAAATGTACAAATAAGTAAGTTTAAAAACTGTCAAAATTGATTCGAGCAGAGGCTTATTATTGTGTGAAAAAGATAATTCGGTCTATTATATCTTATTTATGTAAATACAATATACTGTTTTTGAAAAGAATGGCAATATATTACAACAGACAACTTTATAGACTAACTTGTAGGGCATCTGGCAAAAAATAAAGATAAACTCACTTTTTTATAATTTGTAAAGAAAAAACTAAAAAAAAAAAATTTTTTTTTAAGTTTTTTGTTTTTCCACCCCTTTTTTTTTTCAGTGAGTTAGGGGCGGGTGGAGGAGGGCAAAATAAACAATTTTTTTGGCCTTATACTGGTGCTTGTCTTGCCATAGTTTTTAAGATGTGTTTATAATCTTCAAGATCTGTGTACAGTACCTCATATTTGACTCCATCAGCCCATGTGTAAACACCTTGGCCATGCATTAAACCTTGGAAGAACTGACCCTGAAAAACAACCACAAATAATGAAATTTAATAATTTTAATTAATGAAGATGAAATCTTTATACCACAATTTATTTTTTAAAATGAGTTATTCAGTGTTTAAATTTAATCATTTAATTTAAAGCTTTTCCAATTGTTATTATATAATATCCCCAATGCCTGGGTTTCTTATCTTTAAATTTGGCTTAATAACCCTAGTTGTGTATGTAGTCAAGAGGAGAAACAAGGTATTAATATGATGTCGCTTACTCGATAAACATGACCTCCATAAAAGTACGCTGAGCCATCTCCCTCAAACAGTCCACGCATAACTTCACCTTCAAAACTGATAAAATGAAAATAAACAATGAACGAGTCTCAGCAGTTAAGTTTAATAAGTTGTAGCGCTTGTTGCTATTTGGATGTCGTTAAGTACGCACTGGTGTTCACGCTGATGAACTTCTATAATCATCATCAGCGTGTAGCGTAGAACACTAGTGCGTACTAACTTCAAATACTGCCGATATGGGCACTTTGATAGTCGATACACTAAGATAGACCAGTTATATATTTCTCATTCTTAAGTGTCCGTAGGACCAGTTTGTTACCTACCACGGTAAGTGGAGATACTTATTTATTATGTTAGCTCCTCTATAGACGACACGTTAGGCCTAGTGATCGATTCTATAAAGTTAATAAATATTTATTTTTATAACTTTGGCAGGCCTTTCAAATGCTACATACAGATAGACTACCCCACCACCCCTCCTTACTAGTCCTAGGATATCCCCCTTCTGCCCCGCCCCAACCACCCACCACTCCTACCTAGCTAGGCCGCAGGCTAGGCCTATATACCTACCTAACCCCGTAGATAAGGCCTTACCATTCTACAATGAGCTCGCATAACGAAGGCTCCTCGACTTCGGGCGACGGGGTTGGTTCTTTCGGAGGTTCCTGTTCTACAGTAGTAGTGTCATCTTCGGGCTTATCTTCTATTTTTTCATCCTTTATCTCTTCAAGTTTCTCCTCTGGTGGTGCAGGAGGTTCTTCTATAACGACAGGTTTGTCTTTTTTAGCGTTTTTCTTCTCTTTGCTTTTCGACTTTGATGCCATTTTCCCCACAATAATTGCAGCGCCCTCAAATTCAAAGTTGTCATTAGCAACAGTTGCCAAGGCCTCAGTAATCTTTTTCCCATACGTTTATCAATCATCTATAAATATTACATCCCACATTATAATAATTATAAAATAAATCCCAAAGGAGAAAGTCACAAATCTAACGAAGTTCCGTCAAATTGCTTAAATTCGTTTTTCAATGGTTTGGTGTCCATCCAAATCATTTTCAATCCTGATTATAACGGGTTTAGACGGACAGCTAATGTGCATACATAATTATAGTAAAAATACCGAAATGAAAAATGAATATAGGCCTATCTCTCATTTCATTAAGTAATAATAGAGGTAAAGGTAAGCGAACACATGGTCATTGTGCTTAATTGCGTATGGGCGTGGTCGGTGACTGTTGGTAACAGCCGGAGACGCTTAGTTTTATGTTCACATCATTCAAAACATAATAATAAAATAATAAAATGAGGAATTGAAGTAAAATAAATGGCGGATTTAGAGGGGGAAATTATTTTTTAATGTTTTGTAAAGCTTATCAGAAAATGTATTGTAACTTGTATTTCAGCCCTCCAGCTGAGGCAGCGATGGGAATTGAACCGAGGACCTAGAGATCTCCACGGTTCAGCGCACACACAGTGGCTACCACCAGAGCTAAGCTCATCTCTACAGATAGAAATAGAAGTTTATTGCTAGGCTTTGCGTTTTATAGTTTCCATCCACAATAGATTCAACTGGGTCATTATATCCATTATATTTTCATCTTTTATTTAAATTTCACACTTGGTTATATTTTACAGCAACTGCCGTGGTTCAGAGGCGCTTTTCTCTTCATTTTTACCCCTTGGATCCATCACTATTCTCGTTTCTAGAAAGGCCATTTGAGTTGGTAAGTTTTTTGTCAATACATTCAATACAAGATCGAACCAAATAAACATTCTTAAAGAGATCAGAGAAATAAAGAAATAATTAAATAGTAACCTAGACAAAACAAAAACGAACTCAATCCATAATAACTGGATATTTTTTATTTTTGTTTATTTTGTATAACCACCTGTTGATGCCATATCTTACCAAGTTAAATTCATCTGAACCATTAAAAATACCTTAAAATTAATTAATGATAAATACAGGTCTCCCTCTAATTTTCTGTGGTTTCATAATTAACAAATATCTTTTATTTTTACATTATTCTAATTGGAGAACAAAGATGCTAAAAATTATGGAAGGAAACTCTGGTCCCAAAAGTGGTCTTCAATTAGAGGGAAACGTGTAATTGAAAATTATTTTCATTTTTATGTCTGAAGATGGCATACAGTATTCACATAAAAGGAATTGTACAATAATATTGATAAAATATTCACTTCCTATAAAGTTCCTATAAATATATCTCACTTAACAAGGTCAACTCGTTGAGTTTCGTTCCTTATGAAGGAAATGTAAATTTATGTAAATTAAATGCTGCATAGACACACACAAAAAAAAATCAGCCAAAAACTACAATATGGCAAGAAAACTGCTTTTGTTCCTCAACAAACTTATAAATATTCATGATATTTTGCCAACACAATGCATACACTACATTGCTAACATTATGAATATTCATATTACATTACCAACATCATGAATATTTAGTAAGTCCAAGAATAATAAGTATTATTATTCACAAATTATTAAATATAAATTTTCTAATAAAATCTGGATAAAGCTTAAAATATGAAATTATGTAAATAGATTAAATAAGTTATTGACTTCAAATGAAACATAGATCAAAACAATTAATCTCACTGCTTTACATCAATCATTTTCACTTTTGTTTGTACACTGAACTTGACACTAGGCGTTATGAATCCATTGAAAATAGAGCGGTACAAATGATTATGTTGTAGATAAACAGATCTAATCTTTAAATTTACAGGTATTACCAGCAAATTAAAGGGTGTTACACACAAATATGGTTTTATTTATGTCTTGAAATTTTAAGGAAATATTATCATTCTAAATTTGAAACAAAACTTTATACAAAGCAGGCAATTCAAATATTGATTTTTTTAAGCTTAACACAGACTTTAAATGATAATTAATAATGTTATAATAATAGAATGTTTTTTTATAAACATTTTTCATATATAAATACGTTAGTAAAAAGTGTCAAACGATGATGCAGCGTACTGATGATGATAATACACACATACAAAATATACTATTTTAACAAATTTAAGTTTTCCTATTAACTTGCTTAAAGTCATTACAATCGTTTTTGCTTTTAAAAATCAAATGCAATACAGTATACATGTACCAGTATCACATCTAATGACACAACATAGACAGCTTTGAAAACACAAATCAAAAATTCAGTTCTAGAATTTGTAAGATCTATATTATGAGGTTCAATGTCTAAAAGTTGTATTTAAATGAAAAATTTCCATATTACCTATATAATGAGTAAAATATTGTTCCTAATTATTATACTGTACAGATGACATGCAATGCAATCAATAATGTACACAAAGGTATAATTATACAAAGGGAAAAATGGGAAAAAACTGAAGAGCAGGACTGCAGTCTTCAAGTACAAAAAATGCTGGTCTGTTCCTGTTCGCTCCTTTATACTTGCCATTGTGGTCAGTTTACAGACTAACTGTAGATAATATACTGTATAACAGTAACTCTAACGAGAAATTAGATATAGCACACACTATTACATAGAAAAAGATAGGAACATACAGACCCACTGACACAGTTTGTATGGCAATAGCAAATATTTGTACTTGATAAATTCACAGTTCATTATATTCCTGACTCAAGATTTGTTTACCTATCGAGTGCTAGACAAGCATTTATCTTTGTGTAAATACCATTAAACCAAGCGACACAATAGCAATCCTCAATGACAGTTTGAGGAAGATAGTTAATAATATACAGTACTGTATTTTAGTTGTATCTTCATGGCCTAAGCATGCATGCATTGTAATGCATGTGCTGTATGCATGCATTGTACTCATGTACATTACTGCACCGATAACTGCGTCTTTTTTAGAACATACTGGTACTCCTATCTTCTTAAATCTAATTAAAGAATATAATAAATATTAATACAGTTTAGATTAGCACACCGCCATGCGATAATACTCTATAAGAATTTAAAAAGTGAGAAAGTTACTGTAAAATCTTAAGTTTGTTACAAATAAAACAACCTTGGGAATGTCTGTGCTGTGGAATTATAGTCATAACGGCACATAAATGGGAAAAATAAATAGAAAAAATATATTGAATCAAGAATTGATTTGTTTAATACAATTTGTTAGTAATAGATTTTTGATCATTTTTGAAAAGTTCCATTAGTGCTCATTCACGTCAACAATTACAGCATACATCTGATGTAAAGGTTAAGTGGGGGTGCCATAATTAAATGAGGGGGAATTAGCTGGCAAATAAGGTGATATGATGTGATGTTTGAGTACTTCAGCATACTTTTTTTGCTAGGTACATCTCCATTTTCAAAAGGGGGTGGGGAAGGGAACATACATTTTTTGGAGGGCCTCATAGATATGTCAGTGACCTTCAAAGGCTAATAGCTGTTTCAGACACACACACTATATGGAATTTAATATCTTCAAGTACTGATGTGATTTGGTAATGATAGCAATTACTGCAACGTGAAGCACACATTCGTTATCAACATATTTTATTGGGTCAATTTGGTATTATCTATCAGTCTATAAAAAAAAAAAGATATTGCTGGAGACAATGGGCAAGTGAATTTGGTACATTTATATTTCACTGAGAGAATATTTTAATAGGTAGTCAATAACCGCACAGTATTTTTTCAAGCAAATTACCAATTTAAGGGTCCACGGTTAGGTTTCAGGGGTGAAACCACTGATGATAATGGGAAAGACATTTTGGTTTTTAGAATGGTGGTAACAATTGTAAACCACAATAAAGAAATTGTAATCACAATAATTTAGGTTGGATTGGAAAATTAACATATTTTGGTTGACATCCGAGAGCAGAAGATGCATTTTTGTCTGACATGTGGAACTTCACCCCACCCTTGAATCTGGTTTCATTGTTGATGATGCAATAACATTCATATAACATTTTAATGACATATTAAACTGCAAAATTCATTAACATTTTCTAAGGTATTGCTTATATTACAAATACCTTGAATACAAAAGCAAAATATACAATATTATTTACTGTTTTGTTTCTCATTGGTAGTACAATTTATGTGTTTTCATTTTTTAACAAATTCTATGTTAAAAATAGAAGTTAGAATTAAGAAGAATAACAGAAAGGCCAAATAAAAAAAACATTATGTTTCTTAAACTTCACCATCAGCATTTTTACATAATACACCAACCTTATTTTTTTCTTTCACGAAACAAAACAAAAAAAAACAAAAAACGTCCTTTATGGAAACATTTCTGTGTAAGTCCATTCGTCTGTCAATTAAGTATTACCCCTTCAATGGCATGGTAAACATATTTTTAGCTCTCACATAAAACTTGATATATACAATTCAGAGTGATGGTGTGGCTCGGTGCTTATCTTCATGTTCCTTGGTTACAGGTTCAATCATTACTTTGATACTCAAGCTCCACAAAACTTAGGTTTCAAACACCAAGACGAGCCTCACTGGTGGAAAAAAAATCAGCTTCTTGGATATCAATTGTGTGAAAGTTGGAAGACTGTTGAATGGTACTGTAAATTTTCTCTGAGGAATTATGGAAGTTCTAATTTGCTATATAACCCCAATTCCTTGTGAGCATCTGGAAGTGACCAGGCATGAAAAGAAATGCTGAATAAGTTGCCATCATCAGTACAAGGACTATTACAATATCTAAAACAAAATGTTAAGGATAGACCAGTAGTATTATGGCCTGTCCAGATTATCAAATTCTCTTTAACAAAAAAACTGTTGTACAGGTATGCCCATGATGTGGCTGGTCATGTGATTAGTCATCATGACCATATTTAGGCATGTTACAAGTTTTTTTATTAACTAAAATTTCATAGTCAGGACAGGGCCTTATAGCATAAACATTGATGCATTGACTAAGCACCAATTGCAACACCTACAAATTCAGCTTCTTCCCAAGAACCCTGAAAGGTGGGGAAGCACTTCCGGAGAATATAATACACTTCAAATCACAGAGCACTCCAGGGGTGCCATTGAGGCCCTGTAAATAAGCATAATTTTTTTGTAAATATTTGCATGCAAATAGCATTTTATTGCAATAGCACATAGCCGTCTGTTGGCAATTTAAGCACATCCTCGTTTTAGAAGCTGTACAATACAGGCCTTAACGAGCTGCAAAAGAATAAAATATTAAAAATGATGAGGCCTACTATTAATTAAAAATTATAATCAATTACAGAAAAAATCTGCAAGCGTGAAAAAAGTGTCCTCAACTGGAAATCATAATGTATGCTCAAAAACCACTCTCTAAGGTAGGTCTTGGATGGGGGCCTGTCAATCACCCACCCTGTTTAACGATTCGCTTGTGCATAGACCATTGCAAGTACTCTGCTACAGTATTTAGTCTTGGTCTTATTTACAAGGAACGACAAATTATACTATTACTAATTCACTCGTCCCTGATATAAAATAGTAAAAGTGGCATATATCTGTAGACAGTCATGTCAAACTAGATATAACTGGGGTGGATGCAAAATTACCACCTGAGAAAATTTTGAGAATATGAACCTCTCTCCAGGCCTAGGTTAGGTCACTTACAGTGCACCCGGAAATCGCACTCTCATACCTTAATTAATTAAAAAATCTTACCACCGGTAATTCGTATCAACAATACAATTTAGGGGGTGCCATCGCACCGTCTGTACCCCCTGCATCGATTCCGCCCCAGCATAAAGCCTCGGTAGTGAACAAACAAGATGGGAATCAATTTATCAATTTAAATCTCTGAAACTGCTCTGACCACAATCTGGCCATCCCCTGATCGCATGGCAAAATCATGCCACTTGCCACATCGCCTCGCCCTGTCTGCGCTGTGGCCATGGCCTAACCTAAAACTCAACAAAACACTAAAAAAGGATACTAAATACAGCCTGTTCCCACGGTTCGAGCATGTTGAGAGAAAGAAAACAAAGGTAGTTTAACCACAGCCATCGTAATTTCTGAATGAATCTGCCGATTAAACCGGGTTTTAGACTATCTGACCTCTTATCTTCCATAGCAGCTACCTCGCATACGTCAAATCATTCCCTTTGTGTTTTGTTGGATCAAACATCGCTTGCGCTGGCTGCTCGCGAGTGTTGTGTCTATAATTTTTATTTGCGGCGACATACGGAACAAACAAAGTGCATTGAAGTTGCCCAAACCAAGTAGAGGCCTACATTTTCATTTCATATGAATAAAAAAGAAATAAATAAAAGTAATCAATTAACATTATTTTATGAATTGATTGCCCACATGCCCGGGCCACATGCATTGCAAATGAAGGAGCTGCTTATAGGTGCCAACAAATCAATCTTCAAACGTTAGACCAGTTTCACAATCGATGACGCGTTTTTTCGCAACCTGAACATCTTTTGACTAGTCGAAGCATAATTACTCAAGCGGAAAAATAAATAAAACTATCTCAACGTCAGTAGTTACTAGTAAACTCGTGGTTGTATGTTTGGAGTTTAGTTTTTGATAGATTAAAACCACTTTTTGAGTTCTGTTCAGTCAAAGACAGTTATGGACAATCCACGGGAAATTGCCAATTTAATTAAATTATTTGAAGAGTCTTTTGAAGACGTGGAAATGTTTCTTCAAAACTATCAGCTAGGCCTAGGCGATGACGGAGGTCTCAGCAAACCGAACGCTCCATCACCGTCGAAGTCAATGCCTGCCGGTGGTAAGCCGACTGGCAGCAGTAGGCCTAGGACCAGTGTCGTTGATGGTAAAGATAATAATGATGGTGCAGAGTCAGAACACAGACCCAGTGGTAGCTGTCAAGAGGTGATGACAGATTCTATTTTTTCCAATCCTAACTACTGTAATCTAATTCCTAATCACTTCCTAATTAATAATTATTAATTAGTCTTGTTGGTGGCTGTCTTTGAAGTTAGATATCATTGATATTGTTCATAATATTTATGGTGCAGTGCCATTTATCTGTGTTTTTCCTAACTATTGTATGTTTGTTGTAAAATGCAGACTTTTTAAATTTATTTTTGTTTTTATCTACAGTATACCCATGGCCCAGCCAGGGTACATGTAGTAGAGATTCTGGCCAAGTTGACAATGACCCTAAAAAGTTGTTATGGACGTGAATATTCTTTTGACAACTTTAGGTTACGTAAATCTAAGGTGTTGATTGGTGGAACTGGCCTGACCCTAACCTTAAACTTCAGTCTTTAACTATCTTAATGCATTACTATGGCATGTGGGAAGAATATCCATTGGGTTTTTATTACTTTAAGCCTGGACCCAGTGAAATTAATGAAGTAGTATGGCAACAGAAAATTAAACAGGGCTTTCAACTTTGCCTATTTACTTTTCTGTTGTGACAGAAATCACAGTAATGGTTCCTTATATGGACTTTTTGTCATGTACTAATGATGAAAATGTTTCAAATATTTTATCTTAACACACACACACAGTCACACACCATGTAAAAGCAGTGTGCATTTTCAAAAGTGAATTAAAAATTGTTTTTTATTTCTACAGCTAAGCTCACTTGACAAAGCGAAGAAGGACCTAGTTGATGCATATGCAATCAATTCAATTTTTTGGAGTATGTAATAAATGCTAATGTGTTATTTATTAAATGTTGCTATCAATTTTTATTAAATGATCATACCTTTGTCAATGCTGTATATGGCCATCATGACTGACACACAATATAATAACAAGACGTTGAATAGTATTTGAAATGCTTATGAGGCCAAATAAAAAATGATTGTGTTGGCCACACCCGACCAACCCAAAATGTACGAAATTGAGGGGTTTTTTTACTGCAACAAAAAATATTGTTTTAATGAGCTCAAAAGGCCTATCTTGCTGGATAGTAGGCGATGTGACAGTGTTATGTGACAGTGTTATGTGACAGTGTTATGTGACAGTGTTATGTGACAGTGTTATGTGACAGTGTTATGTGATCGTTTTGCTCTTCAATGTAGATTTAAAAATGGTCTTATGTTGTATTTTTGTGCAGTTTCTACTTTTTAGGCATAAAAACATTATTGGTTAAAAAAAAAAAAACTTTTCCTACTATACTGACCTACCATTTGTTGAATTTTCCAAATACGTGGACAACACAAGAATTTTTTTTTTTGGCCTGATGGATGTCAGTCAAGTATATATAATAATAAGGTATGATGTATAATGCATTTTGTGAAAAGTTGAATTATCACTGTAAATCTAAAAGTTATCTCAACCTTTATGCTTTTCGAATTATGCAAATTATGTGAAACAAATGTTAGTGACTAAAATAGCATATTATTATTATTATTAATGTGTGTATTTTCATATCTCTCTACTTTTGGTTTTATCAGATTTATCTAAAAAAACATGATGGCCAAGAAAGGGCCTTCTTTATATTTTCAAGAATTGTTGATACTGATGGTATTATTACATAGTGGCGTGTCTAAGAAGGGTGGGGGGGTGGAACCTCCCCTAGGTACACCACTTGTATTATGTTGCTTGTTATATTATCAGCTTTAATTATATCTTATCCTTTATTACAGTGTACCTTTGTGTTCAAGGCATTGATCCAAGGAATCATCACATAAAGCATGAATTGGTTAGTAAAACAAGATGTTCATGTCCCAGCTGAGCTGCTAGTATCAGCTACATTTTTAAGTGGAATATAAATTGTAAAAAGATTATTTTTCATATTTTGCAGGATAGAATACGAATCAAGGGCAGGCATTTGGTCCAACAGAGGGACTTGCTATTTATGGTCCATGATACTGATGGTCAAGATAGAGAGATCATTTATAGTTGTCTCAGAACATAGAGAACCTGGCAGTTTTGGGCCATTTTAATCTGTTCCAAGTGGTTCAATAATAACTTAAGCTCATGAATTAATTTTGGTACACCATCACTTTTCTCAACATCATAATAACCCCAGGCATACAATATCAGATTTCCAGTAGACATGGAAAGATACACAATTTTTTTGATAATTTTATTTGTCACATAAATGTAGAATTATAATTTTTATTAATAATAATAATGTAAAATTTTATTATTTTACTCCACAGCACCCAAGTTAAATGTGAAAGCTTCGAAACGTTTGATAAGAGGGGCAATGTTTGATACAGGTAAGACTTATATATTCTATAAATTATATTCTATAAATGACGTTAGCCATTACAATCCAGAACCCTGTGTTTTCTACATACAGTACTGTAATATAACGTAAATAGTTGCTGAGCTACTAGGGCTCACACTCATAGGGCTGGAGCTTATCCCCAGTTGCTGTAGTGTGAAGCAGATGTGAGTGTGACACTCCTCCTGGGTGGGATGCTGGTCTACCACAGGTTACTCCTAGCAATTTGCTGGTAGACTGAAGCAAAGTAGATAAAGTACCTTGCTCAAGGACATAAGCAAAATGCAAAGTGAAGATTTGAAACCCCATTCCCACTGCACCAAACTGCTTCCACACTGTAATAAATTGGATTGATTTTAAGGCTGTGTTCACATGGGACTTTCTTGGTCAGTTTGGTTTTAAAAAAACAGTACAAACAGCCTGTATCTCCTTGGTTTAATATAATTATGTAATGGGTCTATATTAATCCAGGTTTTCAATTCTGAAAAATGTGTTGGTAAAGTTTATTAACTTATATAAGTATTTATGGTTTATTGGTTTATATTTTCATTTCAGGTGAATCCAATAAGAAGGCAAAGAAAGAAAAGCAAACATCCTGAAACCCATAACCAATGATCAGCATTCCTCTATGACTTCCACAAAATTTTGAGCAGTGTGCTTCAACAGCTGATTCTCCAAACTGGTAGATGACCTAGAAAGGTCACCTTCCATTTACTTTTGAGCAGTGAGAGTTGTAGGGTGATGACCAAAAGCTATAAACCAGTCTATCCTATTAAGAGATTGCAAATTAGTCATTTTTGAGCTGAAATCGTAGAAGTTGCATTGTCATGATTTTCGCAGACATACACCATCTGTTTAAAATACACTATCAATCAAGCATGACAAAAATATGTGAAGGCATAGCAAAAAATAGAAGACTTTTTTGAGTTGGTCAATATTTTGAAATAATTTGTTATCTTCATTTTCGCAAGTTCCCACAATCATTCCCATATCATGATTTACAGGAAAGGAGTGATTTTATTTTTTTGTGAGTGATGTCAGTGAAAGATGATTTTATCCAGACAATGAAGACATGTCCACTGTATTGATATTTTGTAAATGTGTAATTTTATTAAGAAAATAAAAGTAACATAATACAAATATATAATTGAATATTGTATATTTTATACCGCTAGTCTACAACATACACAAATATTAAATCTGAAGAGATCACAAGTTATTTACCAAGGGAGTAATAACATTATAGAGTCCTGATACAGTTAAGCACCAGTATTCCACAACAATACTGTTTTTTGTATTACCCCTGGTAACAGGCACATAAAATTGCTCATTTGCAACTTAACTCTGCTCATATAGCAGCTAATTCAGTGTCAGGTAAACTTTATTCCAAATTTGTTTATATCCTGCATTACTCCTGGGTGAAGAGAGACAAATCTAGACACATTCAATGGACAACATAGGATTCAAACTCCAACCCAATGAATCTTAACTGCTTGCGTCAACCTTAGGTTAACTGGACCAAGTTTTAGAAAACTTTTTTTCCATGTTAGTTCATATCTTCAATTCATGCAATATGTAGAAGCCCCATTAATTTAAATTGGGTTTAAAATTAAGCAACCATGTGGCAACCTGTTCTGTATAGAGAGACACGCAGACATGTTGAGAAGCAGGACTGTAATTTTTATAGCTGGATAAATAGAGGTGCGACAATAGAAAGAATCAACTGTAGTTCCTACGGACAGCTGAGGCGAGACTCTTTATATTCCTTGTTTCGCATACTTTTTTTTTAAAGATCATCGGAGGAGGGCGGAATAAAAATAAAATCTTGTTTTCTTATTTAGCATATAGTTTTGCCAAAAACATCCAGGAGGAGGACAAAATAAAAATAAAATTTTATTGCTGAATGTTAATTAGGATGGTTAAATGCTTCAAATTTATATAATTACGAAGAAATATAAATATCTTATCTTTGGAGATTTCAAGGCAGCAGAGGGCACAAAAAAATAAAGAAAACCTTTTATTTTTTTTCTGCAATTTCCACTTTTTCGTAATTTTATTTCTATTTTAAATTAATATTTGCAGTTGGTGGGTTCACTAAACAAGATACAAAAAAATTCTTGCCTTTTCGCTAATTGGTTCACATCGCTCTAGTAAGAACCAACGGTCTAATGCAAGCCAAAGATCGTCATTTTTTGCAGCTAAAGTGGACAGTAAATTTGGACAGTACACAATGTGTGGTGAAAATTCATTAGTAATGTCATGAATTCATATTAAGACTTATACATTCGCTTTCGAGAACACCTTTAAAAACCTCAAAATTGTGGTTGAGTCCTTCTTTAGTGTGAACCTTGTACTGCGTTCCAAGAGCACCACAGGGATCTGACGCACCGTAGAAAACACGACCAATCCTGGAATGGACCAATGCCATGGCACACCTGTATGCAATTTAGAATAAAATTATATATTCATCCAATAGCAATTGGAAAAGTTGAAGATATTTGATATAAACATTGGTCATTTTAAAATAGTCCAGAAAGTTATCAATTTGAAATGAGCCATCGATTAAATTACTTTAGTCTTGGTTAATTTCAGGGTCCCAAGTTGGAAGAAGCAGCTTCTGTGAGACCCGTATGAGCCTTCTTAACACATCTAATTATTTTTGCTGTTTGGTGGGTTCATCCTCCTATTTAATAACACCATCCTGTGATTGGCTATCATAACACAATGCTCCTTAGTGCAGTTTAAAAAAATTAGCTTGTACAGTACTGTAGCACTAACTAGTAGTTTAATAAAGAAACATTTTAACTTACATAACACATGGCTCCCTAGTGCAGTAAAGATCCAAGCCAGTGCATAAGTAATTTTCTTTTATTGAGTCTTCTGATTGGTCCTTCGGTTGCTTAGCATCAGATCCTGGTCCAATTGTATAGTTTAGATGCTTACCTGTAAAAATATATTGATCAACTCCTAAAACTAAATCACTTTTCTATAAAAGTAATAAATAACAACAATAATATAACAACATGAAAATTATATTCATATAAAAATATAATTGATAATAGCAGTTGTAGGTTTTCGGTACACCATGGTAAACAGATTCAAACAAAATACAATCGCCATTGGTTCTTTTCAATTTGATCACTCAAATTATCTTCAAAAGACAAAACTATTATCTATCAGAGTTCTTACTGTATTTTTGAAAGGCTCCGGTGCCTTGACCATGTGCCACCTCATCTATGCACACCATGACCGCATGATGTAAGGGATGGCCATGCCGATGATCAGAAGCCGAAGCAACCACTTCATTTGACTTTGGATCTACAATACAGGCACCAATACAAACCTTCAATTGAAACAGGATTCAGTGGTTATAAGTGAAGAGAAATGGCATTAACACATTCATTCTATGCTAATTATCTAATTAGCAGAGTATAAACAATATTAATATAATTCTTCTTTATTTCACTCATCATAATACATAATAACATAATATGGAGTGGCGAGTCCTCAAGAAGCGAAACGTTTGAAGCAAATGAGGCCCGCAAGAAAATAAAAATAAATACAAACTCTTAACTACAGTACAGTTAATCAGATTGCAGTTATTGTCTGAGAAGGAGTTTCACCGTGTTGAGGTTTGTTGAATCTTTAATTGTGTTGGGGAGAGATTTCCATAAAATAAGTAGAGTAGAAAATTGTGGATTTTCTGAGTTTACTATGGGTATGTGGAGGATGGAAATGAGAGGACTGTCTTGTAGCGTACCTATGTATTTGGTTATTTTTAGTGAAATTTATTGCAATTATGACGGGCAATGGAGCGTGAAACCGTACTGCGCATGCGAATACATGGGGAAGTCGTTCGTTGCGTGGATTTGACAACAGGCTTTAAGCGATTTGGCGTTGTGTTGAGTACGGCAACGCGAGTTTTATAAATACGTGCTCGCTGGGGCGTCTGCATAATTGATCACGCAATACGAGGGAGCACGTCGTCCTGTAAATCGAAAAAGCCATGATGTTGAGATGGGATGTGCATAGTATGACGTTCATGGTTGACTGAACTCCCCGTCACAGCTCCTCGCGTCGCCCATTTCGAAAGCTTGCTATTTATAGAATCGCGACAGCCGATGACCGTCGGCTGCAGTGAGTTACTGGCTTTAAGGAGAAAAGAACTTTATTACTGTAGATTACTGTATCTATAAAAGACAGAAAGAAGAAATGGATCAGATGTACTTAGAGGAGATGGTCTTTAGAGAGATATTATTGAAGGAAGAGTAGAAGGAAAGTGGCCTCGAGGAAGAAAAAGTAATGTTTTTAGATGACCTAAAGGAAACAAATGAAATCATTGCCATCATGAAACGTATATCATATGGTAGAGAAAATGTGAGAAATTAACTGCTGTGAATCTGCCAGGTAGGCAGAAACAGATGCTGATGATAATTACTAGTGCTTTAAATCAGGACTAATTACTGTATTTTAAGCATAAATTAAGATGTAATTCACCTGTGATGGATGCAGGCTGGTTTTAGCAACATCTAACGCTTGTTCCATGTGACTATATATCCTATCCACTTCCTCTTTCTGGAATAGTGTGCCCTCCATTAACTTACTTAGTCTAAATGAACGTATGAAAAGAATTAATTTATATACTATATAACTAGGTACTGTGTCTACGTAATCATTCTATATTTATCATATTATCATTCTATTTTATTTCAAATTACAGTAGTAGTAAACAGAATCTTGGCCACCAAATTACTGCTTACCTTTTATCTTCATGGAATTTTGTTGGCCAAAGCTTGGATGCTTCACTGAATTGATGTCTTGTGAATGGCAATTTGGCAGGAACATTGGCAATTCTAGCTTTGTGAAGACATATATTTTTACTTAAAATATCTTGAAGAACATTCTCTCCTTTTACTGTTGGACACAAGATAATTTCAAATTTATCTGTAATGGAAGAAACAATCACTATGAAGGATACAAGATCAGTTTTAAGAAGAAAACATTGTAAACAAGTGGCATTTCTTAAACTCATTGGAAGAATTTTGCAAAAGAAAACGAGCAAGTGAAGAGAAATTTATATATTTCGGTATACTTTATTCATATTTAAAAAAAAACATACATGGTAGCCAGGGCTGAAAGCCTAATAACCAAGGTGTAAATCAGTAGAAAGCCAACTATTAACATACTCAGTGGCCAGGCCAATGGGGGCCAAGCCTGCTGTTGGGCAGTCCAAGGTGGCTATAATCAGTCTAATGAAGCATTTTAAAAAAATTATCTGGTGTAATACCATTATTATTAAAGGTTCAAGATTATTTTATTGTCCAAAATGCGGAAATTCTGATTGGTTGTAACCATTTCAATACTGTACAGATACAAAAATACAGGTATATACAAACATAAAAAATATAACAAGAAAAGCAAAAAGTAACCAACACAAACATGGGAAAAAGATATGGCCTACATATACAGTAAATAAATATAGTTAAAAGAGAAAGGTGATAAATAGAGTTGTAGAATCCTATTGCAAATGGTATGAATGAGTTGAGAAATTTGTTAAGAATAGCTAAAAATGACCTGGAACCCCTGCTAGGTCTTCTCCCCTGCCGTCCCAGGACAACACTAGACTTTGTGGTAAAGATTATCTATTTAGTATTTGTCTTTTTATAATTTCCTAAACTACAGTAGGTGTGTATTTATTTTTTTAACATACCAGTTCCATCATTTCTTTTTGAATATTTAACCCTTTTCAGGTGCTTCAATTTCTCCAGTGGACACATTTGTTCAAGGTTTCTGAATAAAGAACAGATAATTTTATCTTAGCTTTCACTGTTTTAATTGCAAGAAACATAGTATAAATTTGTAAATTCATTGAGGCCCTATGCATTAAACATTACATGATGAAATTTGCCACTTTGTATTATTCATATACCTGAATACAAAAAACCCCCAAAAAACACACAGCTCCAATATGGATGATGATGAAGCCAATTTTACATATCGTACCTGAGTAGATCAGAAATTTCCTTCCTATCTTTCACTTCAGCAATATTAACAGAAACTGTAAACAAATCAAGTTTCAAAAATTAATCATTTACCATCAGTTTAGTTTAATAAGTAATAAATGAATAAACTAATTATAGCTTTGAGCACCGACCAAAGATATTGCTTATTTACAGGCAAAAATTGATGTGATAATTAAAAAAAAACTTTTAATATTTAAGCCAGTTGCACAATCACATTTAAAGAGAGGGTGGTAAGTCTGCTGTTCTAGGAGGGGAAGGAGGGCTTTTATTTATTTATCTATTTTTTTTGGGAAGGGGATAAATGGTCCAATATGGGATACTCCATACTTTAGTTGGCTTAAGTGTTTGATCCACATTTCTTACCTGCCTCAACTGGTGCAAGAAAGCAATCTGCCAACACTCCAATAATCTTATCTCCAGCCATTTCATTGCTAAACTAATAACGCTCCATCATAACTAAAAAATTAAAATCAAATAGGTTTACACTTCTGTTCTTAAGGGATGGCAATGAATGTTAAGTATATCTGCAACTTCTTTAGCTACTGGAAGCACATTTTAAATTAGTTGAAAAAATAGTTGTTCCTGAAAAACCTGATTCAAGTTGTCCTGGAGCAATATAGCCAAGCCAAATCCTCATGGAAAACTCATTGTTCTGGGTGTTGGACAATGTAGCACTGCAAACACTGGCCACCTACTCATCATTTATCTTTTACTATAAGCGAAGAACAATTTGATTTAAATTAAAGTGATGTCTGATGAGCCTGTGGCTGATGTAATTTTCCATTTTAAATTGCTGATGAATACTAAACATGAAATAGGCCTACTCAAAACAAAACTGAGTATCTATCTATAATAATTATAATTATAATAATTATACAGTATAATAATTATAATACCGGACTAACAGGCCTGAGAGCCAGAGTGTTTTTCACACTATAGTTAATCCTAGCCAACTTAGGTTATGTCTTAGTTTTTGTTAAATTTCCTTTCATTGTATTGTATGTTATTTCATTGGCTGAATAAAGAATGAATGAATAATTCAATATATTATTCATTATAACTTATAAATGATAAGAAACGATTTTTTTTCTATGGTAAGTGATGGATGCAGTGGATACGCCTACAGTGAGACCCTGTGTAAGGCTAAGGCCCCTATATATAGGCCTAGCATTGGCCGTCTTCACCTAGAGTGCTGCTAGTGCTCTTTGGCAGTGGTAGGTAGACCATTCATTGATTGATGCTAGTTATGCCAATTGTGTAGCCTCTAGTAGGCCTAGAAACGAGGCGCTAGTCTAGGCCTAGGCATTACTACTTTAGCTTAGAAC